TTCCTTAATCCCGCCCGTGATTAGGTCAAGCTAGCCGATTCCACGCACCTCCACGCTTCGTTTTGCGTCTCGCTTAAGTTTTCGCGATTTCGTGGACGCGAATGCACGCGTCTGGCGCCCAACATTCGGAATATTTCGTGGAGTATCGGAGGTGCGAGGAAATCACTGGAGAGGCCTACCATCCCGCTCTCCTAAGCCCTTTTGATCCGGCACACGTCCCGGAGCGGTCCGGGAGTGCAAAAAGAGTCGTGACAGCATATATATTATTTGTTTATATACATACTTGTGTTTGTATGTCCATTATTAGATTGATTTCTTTTCAGATCTGAGTTGTGTTTCTTTTATTTCTATTTCTAGAGCCTGGATTCGTCTCAAATGTTGCAATTCTAAATTTTGAATTTCTTTCAAATAATTTTCTTTCATATTATTCATATTCTCTTCATGTTTTTGTTTAATATGCGCTAATCGTTTTTCTTGAGCCATTACTCTTTTTATGCGTTTCATTCGTATTGTTTCTTCAGTGTTTGACAATTGACTGTAACTTATTGTATCCTTCTTTCGTTTGAAAGAACGTGTGTGTTTTAATTTTTCATTTTCCAATTTGTTTGATAATTCTTCTTTTCGTACATCTTTTTTTTGTTCTTCTCCACTGCATAAAGTCATTAACAACGTATCATCTTTCTCCGTAGAAATACATGGATCTGTAAAGCATAAACACAATACATGCTTTTACATATACATATGTAGCATTTATTTATATACATTATAAAAAATTTATAATAATATATAATATATAAATAACAACATAAATATACAACATAAATAAGTACTACCTTGAAAAATATGTTTGCTGTGTGTGTTTTTGTAATCTTCATTATCAGAATCCAATAATTCTACAGTTTGGTCAGTAGATATTACTTCGAAAACATAGTCTCGTTTATCTGAAATATATTTATTATACAAATAACGTGACTGTATTAATATTAGAAATAGTTTAGTATATAAAATTATTTTCGTAGAATATATTAATACATACCATTAATTTCTATATCAGACATATTGGATGTAAATGCAACAGGTGCTGTCTTCATAAGATGTGGTGCGATTCTGACAATATCAGGATCAATATCAATTTTTACTTCTGGTGGTCCTCCACCAGTTGCCATGCATGCTTGTTTTTCTTTAGTTAAGGCTTCTCTTTGCCCTTGTTTCAGATTTGTCCATAATTTCTTTAGTTGTTGTACTGTCCTCTAATAATAAAAAAGTTTTCAATTATATATGCTTTGTTAAAACGCTTTATTATTTTAGTAATAATTATAACCTCTTGTGCAATTAATGAAGACTGATTATAGGCAGTACATATTTCAATCCATGCCACATCCTTATCTTTTAAAGTGGCTCCATCACTTTTTTTTAATTCAACAATATATTTATACCGTTCGAGTATTTGTAAGAAAACTTTTTTTTCCATTGTTGTGTAATGTTTATTTTTACTAGTAGGCTTTACATTTTCTTTGGACGACATTCTGTGAATAAATTGTAATTATATTTGTGAGAAATAATTTCCGGTGATTTTAATCTATCAGTAATTTTGAATTGATATCAATTCGACATTGAAACTGTTTGTCGAAATTATATCAATTTAAAGATCGATTTCGATTCCAATATTTATTAATATAATTTAAAAAAAATAGTGTAGAAATTTATGTTTTAATCATAACATTTATTATAACAGCTATACATAACATTATTAGATAATTTCAAATCGAATTTACATCAAATCGATATCAATTCGATATAGATTCAATTTGAGGTAGTGTAAAACTTTGATACAGGTTGCGGAAGACTGATGCTACAAATGCTTTGAAGTAGTTTTCTTCTCCTTTTTTTCAATAAAGGTATATAAGATATAGAGAAAAAAGAAAAACGTTTCAAAGCATTTGTAACATTAAATCGATTGCAACCACAATTACCTATAGCTTTCATAATAAATGTAATGGATAAAATATAAATTTTTACACTATTTTTGATACACTTTACCTCTTTCTCTTATGCAGTACATAATATGAGTCTGTTACAAAAATCGTTTAACTTGAGATACTTACGTGTATACAAACGACAAGGACTCGCAAGTTTCCAATGCCTACAGACCAGCACTCGCTACAGCCGCTCCCGAAGCAAGACAAACAGGAAGCGTGGACAAACCGGTACGGGCACACGAGATTCCTGAAAAAATAACAAAATGTTTAATAAGGCATATAATATGGCAATCTGTTACAAAAATCGTTTAACCTGAGATACTTACACGTATAGAAACGTCACATCCGCCTCCGATACAGCACAAAGAGAAACAGGAGGGCGGTCAGAACGGTCACAAGATTTCTGTAAAAATAAAATATTTTGTATTAATGATTACACACATGCACTGACTGTATTCTTTTATTAAAATCTAACTACTACGCACAAACTCTTCCGTAACGTATATTACGCAGTAGGCCTATTCTGTAACTCTTAACGACACTTCGTTATTGTTGCAATGTCTTTGCGCAGCTTTTTCACGTAGTAAAACATTATAACGATAACAAATTGTCGTTATGAGTTAAAGAATAAGCATGCGTTGATTAAAGTTTAAAGTTACATACATATCTAAGTTTAATATCAATAAACTTAGCATAAAGTAAGCTTGTGCGGTAGCCCAAAGTTATATTTGTTTGAAAATTAATATTACTTACATATCTTAACGCCTTGGATTGCACCGTGCTGGTCTGCGCTGTCCCACGTTTGTATCGATCGAAAGAGTTTATCGGTTAACCTCACTTCAAAACTATCTCACTTGTCCATTGATTGCATACATGAAAGTGCGGATAATAATAAATCCAAAGTTCCTATTGGAGGAACCAACGGAAAGAGTACGGAAACAGCCGATCGAGAATAAGCATGGTTTTAAAAGTACGGTCTTCGCCAAGGCGATCTCAAATCAAATAAGACTTCCTTGAGCGAAATCTTCTTCGTGAAGACCGCCTTGTTTCACGACTATGAAATCTACCAATCTTAAGAAGATTTTGATTGAATAAGGCCGCCTTGACCAAGATCGTCTTAAGAGCAAATTTGAGATTCGACTATGAATACGGCCCGTAATGTTGTGGTTGCACTGTCTGGTTTGAGCACTCCATGATGTGGCAAGTAATTTTGTATATGCTGACTGGAAACGGGTGAAGCCTTCTTCATGTGATTGAGCTCTCGATATTCTGTCATAAACTGATTATACAAACGTCGATAGTTGTCATCTCGGGAGAGTCTTCTTAGTAAACTTTTCAAGCATCGATGCGCAGTGAGATAAGAATCACCAAGAGTATCAGGTGATGATTTTAATGGAATCCGAACCGTGTATCGACCGGTTGAGTCCTGCGAAACAGTGGTCTTGAAGTATTCTTCACATCTTTGGTCGTCAGGAGTGAGATCATGATTGGTACTCGCAGGCACTTCTTTTTGTGTCCAAAATTTCGACAATAGCTCGTCGAGAGCATCTTCTCTCTCCTGAATTGATGCATGATTCACTGCAACAGATGCCGGTGATGATGTGTCGACCGGCCCGAGAACGAGCCATCCGAAAATTGAGAGTTGAACAATTGGCATCAATGGATCTTGTTTGATGATGTTGGGCTTAATGATCTGTCCATATGAGTCAGCTCCAATGATAATATCCACTGGCTGTAGTGTAAGGACATCTGGATCGGCCAATGTTAACTGGGTGAGATGCGGCCAATCCTGTGGTGCAGTGTTGAAGGATGGCAGGATGTTCGCTGACGCCTGCTGAACGTGAGCTTGAATAATGACGTCTGATCTTGAGTGAAGTGAGCGGAGCTTAAGCAATGCAACTCCTCGAGTTTGCGTCGCCTTTCCGCCACCAATTCCAGGGATGAGAATGACGGAATGATAACGAGTGATGTTGAGCTGGCGAACGAGAGATTCTGAAACAAAGGTAAGTTCTGAACCTGAATCAATGAGAGGCCATACGCATTGAGTATGAACAGATGAGCTGATCTGAGCCAGGGCCGTAGCTAGTAACGTTGAGTGTGGTGAGCGGGCCAAAGAGAAGTGAGCAACGATTGCACCATTTTCCTATTGAGCTGTCGCAGTTGAGCTGGTGGTTGACTTCGCTGATGAGTTCGACTGATGAGCCTCATGCAGCATCGTGTGATGTCGGTTGGTGCACTTCTTGCACCCCCGTGAGCCTTTACATGAGTGGACGTTGTGTCCGGAGATGAGCTGAGCGGGTGTGCCTTCAAGTGAGAGTCGCAGATAATGAAAGTTTTCCACGTCGGTGAGGCGTCGGTTGTCGTAGATAACGGCCTTGAATAGGTCGCGAGACGTGAGCCATGCAGCGTAATTGCCCTTGAACGACGGGATGTTGATGTCCGGCAGCCGCTGAGTGTCACGCGAGGACTGCGATGGTTTGGATATGCGCCCTGATCTTCGCAATAACGCGACGTGCAGCCATATAATAGCGCCGTCGTGGAGTGAACATTGTTTTTAAGCATTCATGAGCGCCGCCGGCCAAGTAACTTCAAAATATGCGTGCTCCTTGAGAAACGCTTTATGCACCTTCTCGAGATGCATTGAGATGTAGAAAATCTTCTCTAATGACGTGTCCTTTGCACAAGATGGTGGCGTCTCGCCAGTATTCCGCACCGTCGTCAGTCGGTTCATTTAGGTGAGGCTTGGCGTTCCGATGTGTGAGCCGGTGGTACCTCGAGCAGCGGCGTCGTGGTCTCCGCACCGCCCGTACCCGCCTTTGCGGGTTCCGTCATGTTGAGCCGTCCCTGAGCTGCGCACGATGAAATATCTGAGAAATGTCGAGACACGTGTAAGAAATGCTGCACGAACCGAGAACGTTCGAGAGACGCGTGAGAAAAACACTATGCGAATCGAGAGTTGTTATGGTCATGTATTGAGCACGTGAAAATGTCTATTTACACTCGCGGGAGCGCGTGAACATGTTTGTGTAACACTCGCGAGCGCGCGTGAGAATGTCTGTACTTCACTCGCGGAAGCGCGCGATAATGTCCACGTGGCATGTCGTGAAAGGCATGCCCTGTTCACATGATCTGTGTCCGAGCTACACTTTAAGTTCCACGCATCCGGCTCGAAGGACCAAATGTTCGCGAAATCGCTGATTAATCCCGGCGATAGAAGCGGGATGAGAAGGACGCGCGTGGAAGGTGTTAATTAATTATTCTGTAATATAAAATGTAACTCAGAACACAGTCTGAGCCGTTTTTAATACGGGAATAGATATATACAGTCTGACCTGAGAGTGGTGGGCAGTCTTTCGGAGTTCACTAAACATAAGAAGTCTTTGTATAAGAAGTCTTTATATATCGTTCGTGAGTGGGCGAGGCAGTTATATTAATTGCCCTCCTCGTGATGATTAGCCCGTGAGCCGGTAAGACACGTGGCGGTCGGCACTCGCGCACATGTGAGCCTGAGTCGTCGTGTTGATGTACCCGAGTAGAGCTGGATGAGCGGTCGCTTTACATGTTAATGCAGTATCTCGGCAGCTGTAATCACTGCGGTGGGCACTTCAATGTGTAGTCACAATCAAAAATGCACAGAGCACACGTCGTGCGTCTGATCACTGCGCGGCCATTTGTCACGACTCTGAATATCGCGAGGAAGACGTTGGCGATGAGCGCGCCCGTGCGTGCGCAAGCTGCCGCGGTGATCGGGCGTCGATACCCGATCGATGCTGCCATCTGATCGGACGGCGCAACGTTAACGGAATCTCGAACAGTAGTTATACAAATTTTTTTAGCCTATTTGGCGAAGCGGGATACTGGGCAACGCGCGGAATAGGTTGCTCCATAATGGAAGTCCTCCAGGTCGTAAAATGTGTCTGAAACATCGAATCAATCGATTTTCCTGTTCAGTACAAATGTCCCTATAGAGTAGACTACACAATCATCGATATATGCAATATTTAATTTTTTATAAGCAAAAAAGTATAGAAAATTTAGTGAAAAAATTTTTCTTTTTGAACTGCCGCCATTTTATAAATTTTTATTCAAAATAATTTTTTTTAGTCTACTCTATAGGGACTTGTACTGAACAGGAAAATCGATTGATTCGATGTTTCAGACACATTTTACGACCTGGAGGACTTCCGCCATGGAGCAACCTATTCCGCGCGTTGCCCAGTATCCCGCTTCGCCAAATGGGCTGAAAAAATTTGTATAACTATTTAAAAGTATCATAAATATAATCCAAAAGTATTGAATAATTTATTTTGTTTACTTTCTCCACAAAAAATTCACAAAAATCACCTATTTTTTGGTACTACTGATGCGAATGGACCCTTAACCTTAAAATTAGGATTTTCATAAAATCAATACTTTTAATTGAATTAATTTACCACATTGCGGATAAAAATATCTTGAGTCATTATCGATGACAATGTTTGGAAATCCTGCCACACAACTGTGCTGAGGCATCTCCGTTTCATCAACAATAGTTTCGCAAACATCACATGTATTTACCAAAACTTGTTGAAATTAAATTTATTTTTTCAATATATTTATATATTCAATATATATAAATAATTTTACAATAGTATGTAATTGATTAAAAGTTACTACGTTACTATATACTTACATCGAATAAATCCATTTCGCTTTTTGAACGAACCGACATGACACTTTGACGCTAGAAGTTGAAAAATCTGAACTTCTTTAGCGTCGACGCAGAAACAACATGATGTCACAAAATCGTCTTAACGCGCGTCAACTGACGCCCATAAAATCGTACCTTAACGCGCTTTTTTCGTAAAAAAGATAGTTACGGAGGCCCGCAGCAATGGCAAAGTAGCCCTTGCTTCTTCGCTTGACATTAGAAATGCGTTTAATTTGATCAAATTACTCGCGATTAGGAGAGCTCTTCGGACAAAGGGATTCCCACGATATCTTCGTCGAGCATGGTGCCGGAGACTCAGGAGGCGGTGCTTCTCGCGCTACCGCCGATACCGTTGTTGTCGGCTCTCGATATGCCGATCCTGGCACCCACGCCACCGCCGCTCATGGAGGAGATCATAGCCGCCATGGACTATGATTTCCCGATAGGTCCGGAGGATCAGCCTTCGGACGACTATCAGAGTCCATCCAGCGACGACGAGGGGGACGACGAAACATAGAAGCCCAGCGCGTAGGGCGAGCGAGGCAGGCTAAAAGTCCGAAGCGACGAGACGCACACAGTCGATAACTAGTTTTGTTCTTTGCGTTTAAATTTCCTTTGGTATCCCCTTTTGGTTTTCTTTAATAGCGACTAGCGTCAATAAGACATTTTCAGTTTTTGGTTTTACCTCGTGATTAGAACAAGGTTATGATGTAAGATTCGCGTCCGGCCAATACGGCCAGGTTAGATTTTAAGATTAATTTTTATTGCGTGTTCGGCCCCTATGGCCTAATGAGGTTACGTTGATATTGTAATTCACTGTCGATCGAAAAAGACTTTCATTTTGACGGTTCATTGCTCAGTTACGGTTAATTTTACGCACAAAAGTCGGTGCCATAGTTGGTGCGCACATTCGGTGAACCGCGACAATCTTCAGGAACAAGGTACCGGAGGACTATCAGCCGGACCTAGTACATTCGCCTATCAGGTCGGCGTCATCGGCGGAACACTAATTCCAAAATGTTGCCGCGTCTACAAAAACAAAGGTCCAAAACGTGATCCACGGGACCTGGGATACACGCCTATAGGGTCGGCAGATCAATGGTTTCTACCTGGAACACTTTCCTCGAGAACAAGGAGTCAAGACGTGACCCCAAGAGACCTGGGAGATACGCCTACAAGGT